ACATAAGTTTATACATACATAAATGCATACATAAATGCATACATAAATATATATATATATATATATACATATATGTATATATATATATATATGTTTGTATATACATACATACATACATACATACATACACACACACACATATAGATATATATACATAAATATATCTAAATGTATATTTATATATATATATTTATATATATATACATTTATACATATATGTATATATATATATATTTATATATATAGATATACACATATAGATACATGTATATATATATATACATATACATACATACATATATATATATATATATATATATATATATTTATATATTACATATATATTATATGTATATATATATATATATATATATATGTACATATTTATATATCTATATATATATATATATATATACACATATATAAATATATATATATATACATATATATATATACTTATATTTATATATATATATATATATATATAAGCGATACGTACCTACTTATATCTATATAAGTATGCATTCACCCTTATCTGGTCAGGACGGCTCACACTTATACAATGTTTAACGGCATTCAGATACCACACCCGTAACGAGAAGATTCTGGGGACTATAACCATGCTGCTGTCAATGTGTATTGGATCTCTCTTTCCATGTTTCTGCGTCCTGTTCGGTCAGTTGCTGGATGGCCTGAGTGCACTAGTGGTGGATATTGCTGAACAAGACCCCGAGCAACTGATTACGGATGTGATGAAGGTACAGTGGGATTGATTCGAGGTTTGTATATAATTTATGTGTAGATGGGGTTTTTTTTTGCCTGATTCGAGGTTCGTGTATAAGGTATGTGCATATATTCGGCTGTTTGATTCGAGGTTTGTTAGTGTATCGGTGATGTACATATATATTGTCTGAACCGTACTTGTTTCTATAACTGCACTTGAGTATTGCGTGTTATCATGTGTGTATATGCTGGGCACGAATGCACCGAGCATAGGGACATTACATTGAACGCATATAGGTATACCTTGGTTTGCCGACAAATAGTTATGAAACATTCGTATCGATATCCGTTCCCCTGTGTCGAGATTGTGATCAAGCAAACGTTTGTTCTGCTGCGGCTACGAAGTGGAATCGCATCCTGTTATTGCCTTCGTTTGAGAGAGATAAATTAAATGAGATATTTCTCAGACTCTATCAGTATGGGATGAGACACACCCATGTTGTACCGGTCCCAATACAGTCAACACACACACACATTGCTCGCATTTCTCGTGTTATCTGTGTGCACGCGTGCATTGATATATACTTCACGTCTTCATGTCCTTACCGAATGTATGCTTTTCCTGTTTGTTTGTTGTATGCTCTTGTTCGCTGGTAGGAGTCCTACAATCGGCAGGTAGTTCACGCAGGAATTACCTGCACACAACCACTGCAAGTACTTGACTTGCATATCTGAGGTCAGTGTGCGCACTACTCAAACACATCACTTCTCTTCTTGTACCCAGAATCCCATCTCACAAACCCATCTTGCAAACCTGTGTAGATGTCCCGGGAATTCATGTATCTGTATAGCCATCTGTAGCGCACTAATACCTCATTCCGGGTCTCATTGCCCCAAACCATCATCACCGTACCAGTGTACCCCATATATATATCT